GCTCCTGTTTAGCAGTTAAATAGCAATTAAATTACAGCGCATTCTCTGTTTTATCCAAATTGTTTGTTTTAAAACAAGTATTCCTTAGTTTAGTATCCGCGCATTGTTTTAGTATACATTTTTTAAAACATATATTGTGGCAGTCATAAGGAGCACACACGATTGACTGTAAACACGTCTTTATTCCACGACTGCCGACAAGTGGAACTATTCTGAACATGGACAGAATAGTGTCCACCATAATATTTATTAAAAGAAAAATAAATAAATAAATAAAAGTCCGCGAGAGAGAAGCCCGACCCGAACCTGTTTTACTTCCGCATTCCTGTCGTTTTGGTCCGGAGCAGAAATTGCACGTGTGACCGCAAGTGGAGCTGCTTCGACGCTGCGCCGGAGTTGTCAGCTCAGCGGCTTTGCACGTGTGAACGCTCCACAAAATTTGCTCCGGTGTAAAATACATCGCATCAAAATACTTCGGTGCAGCGTCGGAGTAAATCTTGCCGTGTGAACAGGGCTATTCTTAATGCTCATGTTTGTCAGTTTTTTTTTCCAAACAAACGCTGAATATTATCTGTCAATCATGTGATCCGCTTCAATTTCCGATCATGTCGATTGGATTGAGACAACCCTAGTTTGAAGTGTTATACCTGTATAACAAATGTGGCTATAAAGTTGACAAATACACTCACCGTTCATTTCCCTCATGGCTCGCACGTAATCATTTGGATCTTTGAAGCTGACAAAGCCGTAGCCTTTCGTTTTTCCTGTGCGCTTGTCTCTCACCACCTGAGAGTGACAAAGTTAGCAAAACGGACTGTGAAAATTGCACACAAACATTTTTCATCGGTATACTCCAGTGAGCCCTCACTGGAGTGTACCGTTTTCCACTCCACCCCCATTAAAGTAAGTAAGTATGTAAGTAAGATATCCTTTATTTGTCCCACACTGGGGAAATTTACAGTCTACAGCAGCAAAATTGTGGGTAGAAAGAAGAAAGATGTTTCCCACCTGATTCAAATGATCAGCTCATCGGCAAGCTCTGCAGAAGCCCGATAGCAATCCTGATCATTTGAATCAGGTGTGTTGGAGGAGGGAGACATCTAAACTGTGCAGGACAAGGGGCCCTCGAGGACCGGTGTTGGTGACTCCTGATGTACGCTCTACTCGAATTAAAAAATAATAAATACGGGCTAACCCTCGTCGTATTACCATGAGGCTATGAGACCTGTTTGTATCTGAGGCTGTGTCATTTAAAACCCGCAAATGTATTTGGAGCATGTGTGAAAGCTGAGCTTGCCATCCTTGATGAAATGTGCCAAACAGCACAATTCGAGCCTACTGAATTCAATGAAGAGACGCGGCCAAAGACATACACATGTCAGCGGCGACCAATCAGAGGAAAGCCGTTTTCCATGTCAAGTTAAAAACAAGAGACCCAGTTAAAGCACTGCTGATTGACATTTTGAATACCGTAGTTGTGAATAATGATGAGAAAACAGACTGTTCAAAATCAGTTATTTCTGACCAACAAAAATAGCTTGAAAAGGGGGCACCCCACACACACACTTGAGACATTTTAACTTACTACATTTTTACAATGTAGTACAACAATATAAATTTGAGTATTGACCATTGCGTGAAACGCTTTGAACACGAGCATCACTGCAAACCCACCTTCGCTTTGAGGAAAGACGGGTACCTGCTGAAGGCTCTGGCCAGTATGTCATCATTGACCTCATTCCCAAGGTCGCCGCAGAAGATACGGAAGTCATCTACAACGGAGAGGGACGCGGGTCGAGGTGAGACAAAGCAACCTTCATGTCATACCTTGGTCGTGATGACAAACAAGTGCCGCTACCCGCTTCCCACTCCAACAGGCTGGCGTCCTCCCAGGAAGTCCCCGCTGCCGTTCGAATACATTTCTTCACCTTCTCCGACTTCGGCTTGCCCTTCTTGTCTTCCGAAGACGTTTCCACTGGCTTGAACACACGCGACACCCCCCCAAAAAAATTGAGTTTCTTGCTAACACTTGGAAATACGGGCTTGCTCAAGTGGATTGACACTGTAGGGCGGGTTTAAGATTTGGATTGTCTAATTTGAATGTACTTTTCAAATAGACGATTATTTTCCACATTTAAATGAGCAACACCTCAAACTTGCCACATTTACATCCTATTTAATTCTCAATGCTTCAATTTAATGTTTTTTTTTTAACTGTGTTAATTTGAATTGTTTGGAAAGACAATGAGAATGAGTTTTTGTGTTGCTATTTGTGGAGTCAGACAATGGAACCGTTTGAGTGTGGGGTTGAAAACTGTACAAATAGAACCCAATTTAAAAAGAGGTATAAAGAGAGGATTTACAATACATACAGAAATGGAGGAGGGAGGGGGTTGACAATCACAAGGTGTTTATTGGTTATTGAATTACTTGGTTACTGAATTACCATTGGATTGTTCATTTGGAATTTCTCCATTGCGAGACTAATAAAGGATTTATCTTATCTTACATTTTTTTTTGTATTCTGCAACACTGACATTGAGATTTCACACCAATCTCTCCCCATATTTTGGTCTATGAGACAAAGTGACATCACAACCACAGGAGCAATTTTGCCTGCTGAAGCAACACATTTGAGTAAGCTTAGTTTGTTCAAAAGCGATCAGTAGTGTATATTATTATTCAACTATTTTTTATTTTTCATGTATTTCTTTTGCAAGTATTTGTTTGAACTATCATAATAACTTGAGCAAATTCATTTTTTATTTTGATGTGAAAGCAAAAACCATCCTTTCAAAATAAATGAATGCATGTACCTCCGGGCGTGCAGGCTCACGCTCGGGCATCATGCTGGGTCCGATGACGGCGCCGCTGTCTTCGCTTTCCTTCTTCTCCAGCAGGCCCGCCGCCACCACGGCAGCCTGTTGCTCAGCAACCCGAGCCGCCAGCTCCTCCTGACACCGCAGCAGACAACTTTACCACACGGAGAACCGATAGGATGAAGTTTTCATTTACTTGCGCATGTGCGATCAGTAATTTGCTGCTTTTCTGAAAATTATTATTCTTGAATATTTTTTTTTTTTTGTTGGTGATAAACTTGTACTCCACTCTTCAGCCCATCTTAGAGTCATACAGTAAAGATCATGTAAATATTTACCAGAGATGGGCATTGTGTCCCTGGGGAAGAACCATACATTTTTTTTAGACGGAGAACAGAGAATAAGTTAAGTATAAGTTAATAAGCGAAGTTGGTTTTCTCTTTAATCATCCCCAACCAGGTTAAGTATGTGGTGATGGGAGGCAAAACAACAAGGCTAGAGTGTAGCCAAAAAAAGGACTATTTTCTGAACTGGCTATGAACAGCACAACCTTTTTCATCTCGAACAATCGTTTTATAGCAACACTGCCACCTAGTGTACAGTCAGAGAACACAAAGTACCAACGGACACAGTCAGAGAACGCAAAGTACCTACGGACACCCATTTCACTAAGGATCAATCCTGTCGGTTAAGAAAGCTGGCAGTGTTGTATGTCTCTCGGTGCCCGCCCACCAAGGCGCTAATGCCATTTGAGGCACAGATTTCTAAAAGTAACATTTTTCTCATTTATATCATTTTATCATAGTAGCTAATTTTGTGTTTTAAAATACTACTGTTGAGTTTCTTCATCAAGTCATAAAAGATAAAGGAACAGAGATGTCGTTATTGTCTGATTGATGGAAAAGTCTTGTCTGCAACAGCCAATCACGGCATTACGAAAAATAAGGTTCGGTATGCAGGCGTATACGCGATGAATACGTCAATGTTTGCATGCAAGAGTCCTGCACATTTTTCATAGTGTGGCATTGTGCAATGTGGCAAGACATGTCGTGTGTTTTATATTTTATGGATGATGCGTTTCTCTCGT